ATTATCACACATTACTCTCATTTTCTTCAGTTAATGGTGATGAATGTCACTAAACTGGAACCCAACTGGCCTTGGGTTTCACATTAGCAGAAGGTTAATGGATACATCACAGTTCTGAAATGTGGAACCAAAAATCTTGGTTCCGAATTTTTTTTTTTGTTTGTTTGTTTGTTTTATTTTAGGTCTTTTCCTTAATATGAAACAAATTCCAAACAATGGCCTGTGACTTGACCCTTTTCACAGATCAAACCCAAAGTGTGATGCCTATCATATCAAACTAGCAGGCGGTGAGCTGATTCCAGAGAAGCTGTCCACATAAGCACTACGGCTTCAGCCTCCAGGTCTTGAAAATTCTGGGAACAACTAGTACAGACCGAGAGCAAAGTGTTCTCCTTGACCTATAATAGGACGATGAGTTATGTAGATAAGACGCACCGAGGCCATTCGGGGCTTTTACGCCATGCTTTTGTCTCATTCTGTAGCCCATAAATTGTCTTTTTCAGATGGTTTTATGTTCTATTCCTGTGTTTTGTGAAGTTGTAAAGTATGAGTTACTATTTCATTATGTTTCAGGGAATATTTGCTTTATCAAATGTTTTCTTCTGTGAGAATCTTACTTCAAAACACAGGAAACATTGTGTGTCCTCATGTTCCTTCTCTTTTTTAACCTGGAGGGATTCTCACAAAAGATGCAAAAGGTTTTTCTTGGTTAATTAAGATAAAGTTATTTTACCTAATTGTATTATCTAGTTATTGACAAAGTTGAATATAATTTATAAGGTTATCAAGTTATCTTTCTTATTGCAATGCATTTCATTTAAGCAATTGCAATCTAAAAACAAAAGTCATGAATGCAATTCACTGAAACTTGCAGAAATTCTTTGCTTTGTGTTTTATCTGTCCAATATGTTTGTTTTGGCTCTCCATACTCTGCCCTTGTAAAAAAAAAAGAAGAAGATGATGCTTCACAGCTCAGGAAAAAGATTAAAATCAATTCACACTTTCATGACAGGCCAATTCTAAAAACACTCACAAGATCTAGTCCTATATACCCTATATACGGTTTCCGTTTTGTTTGCAGATAATATTTCGGATTTGCTCCTCAGACATTCAGACCTCATTGCCAAGATCAATTCAAGGTGGCAGAAATGTCTTCAAAACGAGTGGCAGGCTTGGTATTTAGCCTTACACATTAACATAACAATTTTAGACAAGAATTCTGACATTATTTTAAAATGTGTGCTTTAATATTTTAAAGGTAATCTCAGATCTAGTGTAATATTGAAACCTAATGTGTCGTTTAACAGGGATGTTATCATACACAGAATCAGGTCGTTAACACAGTAAAAAGTTTTCGGAGTGTTTGACTTGGCCACATCGAGCCAATCGACCAAAGATTTGCGATGCTCCAAATGGTGCTGGGTATCATCTCTGTAGCCCTACAGTATTTGTACAGGCCAAAGTTAAATATTTGAGGAGCACATGTTGGGATGAAGGGTGACACGGGATTTCATCATAAAGCCGGGAAGGATGAGTCAGCGGGGGGTCATTTTAACAGTAGTGTCAACATCATGAGATCCCTACTCTGTCCACTTGGCAAACAGTGCATCGCAGACTTTCTGCTTTCTGGAAGGGGCCGGTGCTTTCTCAGAACACCTTTTCAGTCGAGTCAACACATTTTTGACATTTGCTCTCTTTGATTTTGCACAGTGGGTCCAAAGAAACTGGAGGGCTAGAAATGAAGCAGGTGTAACTTCTGCACTGCCAGGACGTTTTCTTTGTGTCAATATGGAAAGAGCAACGGTGCTGTATTCTCAATTTGTATTAAGCAGTCAGAAAATTGATCTCTGGTTTATATCACCATTTTCTTCTGATTCTAAGACTGAGCATTTCTTTCCCCACTAACCCCCCAGCTACAAAATGTCTGATGAAAGTTTCCAAGGTCCCGTTTACTTGGCTGACTTGGTGAGAGCTGCATCAAGCTGACCGTCAGCTGACTGTTGCGGGGGTTTTTGTTTACCCAGCCCTCCTGTCTGTGAACATCCAACACAACTCAAACACGGTCACCTGGCAAGTCCACCTGCCGTCCTGTTAGCAAGTTCAAATTCAGCAAGAATTCCTGCTTACGCTAAACTGAACCAAGACATTTAAAGTAAAAGACAGTTTTCATGTTCTCTCCCTTCATCCATGCATTTCTGGGTCCTCGGGTTTTCTCCCACAGTCCAAAAATGTGCATGTTTGGTTAATTAATCCCTGAAAAATGTCCCAAAGTGCGAGTACGCAAGTTTCTTTGTCCTGCTTGTCACTGTGCTGCCCTGAAATGAATCTGTTGGCTGCTGGAGATACTCTGCAAGCTGCATGCTGCAAGGATAGAGCAGGGATAGAAAGATGTTCAGAAGCACTTCAGTTTGCTCCACCTGCACCACTCATTTTTACTCTCTTAATCCCTGACATTTTAACTTTCTGTCCAGTTTGCTTTAGGTTCTTCCTCCAATTTCCAGCTTTCCATCTCAATCACATAAACTCACCGTAGTGCAAGCCTCTATCGCTACATCCTACGTGTTTGTCTTCTAGGGGTTCCGATGCAACTATCTATTTCCAAAGCAGACACCTGCTCTACTCCTCCTTCTGACACAGGACTATTTACCAGAAGGAGCAAAGGGAAAGGGGTTGTGGTCAGAGAAAAGCAAGATGTTGGGTGACAGATCAACAGGGGAAAATGAAAGAGTTGTTGATGCAGACTGCTTTATTTTAACAGGAGAAAAAATGAGCATTTCTAATGTTTTTTGGTGGTCTGACTGGATCCCAGTCACCATCTCTGACATACACCAAAAAGGTTAGGGAGGATAAATGATGTTTTAGTTGGCCTGGTTACATCCCACAACTGGCGCAGAAGGACCAGTAAAGACGTCTTTAATGCCACATCATCGGTGTCGACAACCTTCTCCATGACGTCCCTTTCTACGCAGAATTTAAGACGGGAGATTGTCCCTCATTTCAAACTGATCTGCCTGTAAAAGGACATTAATAAGTTACAAAGAAGTTGCTACTTTGTTTAAAATGAAGGCTCTGAATAACATTGGTGACTTGCCATTTGGTTTTCACCTGCTTCTAAGGTACTCTGCTTAGAGTACCATGTATTCTGCTCTCAAGCAGAAAATCCAAAAGGTGAATATCAAGCTATCAGTTCCTGACTTTAAGTCCTGCCATACGCTGTTGGTAGTTTTCAGAGTGGCTTGTGCAAACTACAACTCCCACTGGAAATAGCACAGGGACATTGCAGAGCAAAAATGAAACTAAGCCAAGCAGCTCTGTTCTACCTGACTGGGAAAAAATGCATGGACCCATGCTCTGCATTGCAGCCAACAACAAAACATTTTCATTTTCAAGCAGCCGTTGCAGCGTCTTGAATGAAGTGGGGGGAGCTCCATTTGGGTTGCCAGGTGAGGTGCTGGGCTTGGCTTGGGATTGCCAGGTAACAAAATTGTGATGCAACAATTTAGAGATTTTTGAGACAGGTCTCAAAAATCTGTGCAGAACTTATTCCCCAAAAAACGTAAGGATGTTCTTTTTGTTTTGTTTTTTTCTGCTAACTGATGAAAAAAACAACAACATCCCATTATATTGAGATAACTAATGAAAATGATTTTTAATAAGATTCAAAACAATTGTCAGAAACGTGCTTCCATAATATTGCTATGTATACTACATACTATGTATATTGCTATGCTATGCAAAATATTACTTTCAGTTAAAAATTAGATCCTTTAGTGGTTTATTTTTTTTAAGCAGCATCTTTTGCCCCTGTCTGAAACAACAAACATTAGCTTCTCACCCCTGTCAGATGAGTATGAGGAAACACTGCCATCTAGTGGATAAAACATACAATGGCTAGTTTTTGACCACACTAACAAAAGTATGGATTTCCTAACTGTTGGCTTAGAAAGAAATAAGGGGGCCTGTAATAGGGCCTCTGTTACGTAACTCCAGAACAAAAATGGCATAATTTTGGTTGATACTCAAAAACACTAGCATGATTTTCCAAAGCTAATGTGCTCGTGTGAGCTAATGTTAAGTTTTTGAGGTTTTTTTTCTCGACATCTCAATCCTCAGGAGGCTTCAACACGTGTCTGGAATTTCCTTTGACAGCCCCACTGAGCAAGCTCCTTGGACACCGAAAAACAAAAACGGCAGACTTTGTCGAAAAGTCCCTGCGTCTGTTCTTATGTGAGGCTGAGCTCACGTGAGGTGGAATCTGAATGGAGGCCATGCACATGTTAAATGTCGATTTGTTGAGGCGTGGGGGAGGCTCTGACTGGGAAAACAGATTACCATAGATGTCGACTTACAGGGCTTCGCAGAAGTTTTTTTCACTCGTGGTGTTTCACATTTTTTTCACCTTTTGACCACATACTTCAAGGTCAAGGAAACTATTAAGAAAGGAAAAGCAAAGACACCCACTGTATCTGTGGAAGAACGGCAAAGATCAGCAGTACATGGGTGTGTAACGTATGCAAAATTTCAAGGTTTGACATTTCCTATATTTTAATTTTCTCCTCATGTCATGCACACAGGTTCATCTCCTGTATTCTAGTTTGAATCAAAATAATTCCCGTCTTCACAGACTGAAAAGAGTGCGTGGGGGAACAGTGGATTGCACTCTTGTCAGGAGATCCTGGGTTAAAATCCTAGCCTGGGCATAAAATTTACATGTTCATGCCTGTGCATGAATTAAATCCCTCTGGAGGTTAATCGGTCTCTCTAAATCACCATGAACCTCGTCCAGTGGCCACTGAAAACAGGCACCAGGCCACCTGTAACCGATGCTCTATACACAGCTAAGTGACCAATCATTTTAGACAGTTATGTGTGGGTCAATCATAATAAAAAAAACATGTAATGATTGAAGGGAATATTTTGAAATCACTGTAATAATTTAAAATGCATATATTTTTAGATGCTCCTTTCAGTGGCAAATGAATGCAAGGTAAAACTTTGAAGTTGTTTGGAAGTTTATTTGTCAGACACGTATATTTGACTAACACCCTGCATATGAAGACTGAAAAACCAACAAAGCTTTCAGAAAGCATGAAGCCATCTGTTTGTACAATTGAAATACAGCGGAGGAAACAACGATAAGTCTTTGCGAAATAAAGTGCAAAAACTAGACTATGGGCTTTCAGAACAGTTTCTTTTTAAAATTCCAACCATGCAAAATCCAGTATCAATCAAACAAGCCCATCTTTGAGTACACATATGTATATGTTTGAAATAGCAGTATTGAAATAAAACATCAGATTGATCATCTTTGAGTTTTCACATTTGAGGGAAAAAAAATTAACACTTAAACATAGAGTTGCTGTTTTTCGTAAAACGTTTTTCATTCCTGTCTAGTCAATATCAACTTGTATTTGATCATCATTGTATTTAATATTACATATATACACTGTTCTACTTTAAGGGTTGCCAGGCATAAATGTAGCATTCATATGCAGCCATGGTGACGTCAAAGACATTTCAGAGGAAGACCTGTAGAACCTATGAAACCAAGAAGTGATGATCCTTCCATGTAACGAAATGCTGGCCTACTTAATATAATATTTTTAGCTTTAACGGTAAATGTTCTGTTACATGTGACTGAAACTAGCAAAGATCAGAGCACAAGTACATACCTTAAATCAGCAGTGAATAAGGATGGATATAAGTGCTTTGTGCGCAACAGGCAACAGAGAAAACAGTGCTGAATAGTTGAGCTACGTGTAGCAGATCTGTGTAATATGACCAATAATGGTTTAAATCAGTTTAATCCAACTTTCAACTAAAGAGACTGAGCCTCTTCTTCATGTAGAGAAAGGCGAGATACGTAGCTCCCCCAAGGACCCCGACCAGCAGAGTCGTGCCGACTATAACAGGAGCGTTCTTTCTGGCGACTCGGAACGCCACAGGAAGGACAGCAGAGATCAAGATGTTGTTGACGTGGCCCAGCACCCTCCGGAAGGCCGGCCGCTCCACAACACGCTCGTAGTACGTTTCCACGTTGACCCGGCTGCCGTTGCCCCAGTAGCGTCGGGAGAGACCGAGGAACTTCAAGCGGTGCAAGGTGACCGCCAGCGAGACGTCGGCAATGCTGAAGAAATCTCCGCACAGCCACGACGGTTTGCCTTCCTCTGGGAAGACGGGAGATGAAAGACGCGTTTAAAGAGAAATAAATAAAATAAATAATAAAATAGAAAATGTTGATGCTAAATGTTGCTTACAGCGGTTGTTTTCTGACATACCAGGTGTTTCCTCCGCTCTCCTCTGCAATTCTGTCTCCACCTGGTCCATCACACTTTCCAGTTCATCCAGGAGCTTCTTGAGATACTTCATGTTGTCATGGTCAAACAACTTGGACTACAGGGATTAGAGCAAACTTAGAATCCAGAAAAAAAAACTACCTGAGCAACTACTTTTTAGACTCCTGTCCTTCCAACTCAGACAAGGAAGTAGACCAAAAGATACTTACTTATACTTATCTAGCAACCCTGAACAGGAGTATCTCGTTTATATACTTTGGATCAACATTATTAGATTCTTTTTCTTCTTTTGTTCTTTCCTTCAGTTTGTTATTTTGTTTGTATTTCTTTTTTAACTCATGTAAAGCACTTTGAATTGCCTTGTTGCTGAAAATGTGCTATTTAAGTAAAATTACCTTACCTTATTTTACCTTACCTTAGAGACACATTTGATTAGAGATGATTATGGAAACCATGTACCTTTATTCTACATTGCACATCAACACACTGAAAGAAATTAAGGCTGGAAATGATCAGTCTGACTGGCAAACTCTCCAGTAATGCCCTCATATTGAGATTTTTTTAGTTTGTATTATTATTATTATTATTATTATTATTATTATTGTTATTATTATTATTATTATTAAGGCCAACTAAAGAAGAAATAGTTTCCAAACATTAATGTAAGCTGAGAATGATTTTTTTTAGACTTATTCACATCTGGCATATCAAAATCAATTACTAAATGTTCTGAATCTACACTCAATTGAAACTTGAGTGTAGATCAGAATAAATCTCTCCAGCTAATCATAGAAGCACAATTTTTTTTTTTTGTTACGTCCCAGTTCAGACACAGTCGAAAAGAAGTAGGATAGGAAAAGTGATTAGTCAAGAGGTCTGGTTCTAAATTCCATATTGTGCACATTTGGCAGTTTGCTAATATTGTTACCCCGACTTACTTTCAAACGCCTCTGTTTTGCTATGTAAGCATCTTTAAGCTCTGGGTTCTGCTCAGCCAGTTTCGCCAGCTCCGTCTGCGTGTTTCCAATCTGTGCTGCCAACAACAAACAGGCACGGGCATCATGAGGCGCACTTTAGATTTCAGTGTGAAATCAGTCATTTTTATGGAAAGATTATGCTGATGGAAGGTTCTGGTGTATACTCACAATGAGTCTTTAATGGTGCCTTTGAAATGTTCCTTTTTAGAGGTAATTAACAAAATACTAGCAAATATTGACCAATCTGACTGCAGTAAAAAATTAGCATGTCAAAGGAGGAGGCAAAGTTAAGCTTTCTGATTAAAGAACATTGTGCTGACTTGTCAGTGATAGCAGTGGAAGCAACATGTTTCAGGTTTGTTTTGCTGCCATTGGCACAGATAGCATTGCACAAGGTTGAACATTTTATTTTGGTGAATGGAATAACCAATGGCATCTATAGGGTCTAAATCTTAAACTGCTCTGCAATATCAGGTTGCCTTACTTCGTATCGATGCAGCAGCATATGCAGGGATGTGGGAGTCGGCAGTGATCTCAGGATGAAGGATACAGCCGTGCGTGTATGCGTCCATGGGCAGCGAGTCTAGCAGCTCCCTGTAGTGCTGCACTCTGAGATAGTACCTGCTGCTCTCCTCAGGAACCAGCCTGGGAGTTCCCTCTGAAGACACACAGGCCAAGGAAACAGTAAAAATATGGACATCAAAACAAACTTTAAGAAAAGCTGACATGTTAACACAACAGATATTCAGTCATGAACAAAAAAAACAAAAAAAAACTCTTGTGATTGTTAAATTACTGACGGGAAACTAATAAGTACATCATACGAATACAAAGCTGTCGATTGTGGTCCAAATAATCCATATTTATTCAGCTTTACTAATCTGAATTTAAACATCTGACATGTTCTTATACAGGCTTTTAGAAGACGTGTGCAAAAAAGGCAGTTTAAAAATGCAGTGATGAAATGCTGACCATTGATGATATTTTGAAAAGATTCAATGATTGAATATTTTCAAGTTTCAACTTAAGTAAACTCATACTTGCCTGATTTGTTTTTCATTTCATTTGCAGTGCAGAATCTTAAGAGCACGTGGATGAATGCAAACCAAGACAAACGTTAAAAGCAAATAAAAATAAACACACATGCAGTTTTGAACAAAACTGAACAGAAAAGAGAAAAGAAGACAAATGAACTAAAAGAAGGCAAATATTCTAACATCAGATGCCTTGCTGCTCTCTTTTTCAAACTTACCAGAAATCCATTCTGAAACTACTAAGTTAGTAAACCTAGCCATAATTTAACCATATTAATGAGGCCTAATGTTAAAAAGTTTAAGTGTACTGTAGTCTTACCATAGCTAAAGTTATCCTCCAGATAATCCATGATCTGTGTTGGATCACAGATGACTTTATCGTCGTGGACCAGAACCGGCACCTCACCCGCGGGGTTCAGACGCATAAACCACGGTTCATTGTGTTCACTGAGAGGAAGGCTCACATCATACTCCTCACAGCGCAAACCTTTCTCTGCTATGGCCAGACGCACCTAAATGACAAATGTAACGGTCAGTAGAGATCTTCTCTTTCCACACCCCTGAAATAATTTAATCAAATATGCAACGGTTTAAATGAATAAATGTCGCGAAAAATGTAACTTTGTCCTTTTAATAATATGCCAAAAAATCATTTAGAGCCACATTGTTCCAGTTTCATTGCTGAAACTGTCAATAAATCTGTATCAGGGAGCTGTCCACTGACATTTGGTGCTGAAACTTGATGACACCGACTCACCTTCTGAGAATTGAAGGACTGGGTCCAGTGATACAGCGTCAGTTTTGAGTCATTGTTACACAACACTGTGCCGCCCTGTCGTTGCGTCTCCTCTTCTGAGCTGGCCTGTATAAGAGCTGCTTTCTCATCTTGGGTTTCAGAGCCGTTTTCCGACGCCATTTTATCTGTTAGCCTTACGAGGGAACAAGAGGATGGGAAGGCGCCACGTCAAGGTTCACATTGTTGCACCCCCTGCTGGCCAGGGGTGGAACTTGGAATAAAAAAAAAAAAAAAAAAAACACTTTGCTTTACTTTAATTTTATTCCAGTAAGTAAGCATCAGGTCAAGTCATTGAGCTCCAGGGTACTCTTTAACCCTTTTTCTATTTATTAGTGAACAGTATATCACCATATCAGCCATATCACGAATTTTAACAGTATCTGATTCATTATTGTTCTTCGATCTTGTCCACCAGTGATTATGTGTAGACAGCCAATGAACAGCCAAAAAAGTCTCCACACAAAGCTTGCTTTTATTAACTGATCTTTTATAAACAGTTTTTCTTTATTTTATTTTTTTTTTCTGTAACTGACATACAACAAAAGGGAAAAATGCATCACAAACTAATACACACATCTTAATGCTACCTTCAAAAGGTTTCTGTAATGGAAATATAACAGAAAGAAAAATAAACACTTACAAAGTCTAAAGTTTTCCGAGGCACAAAGCATTTAAAATACATTCAATGTTCATGAGATGTTTACTTTCTTCTGCCTAAATTCTTGTTGACTAGGTTACCGGAGAAAAATACATCAGAGATAGTTTGCTCCCCACAGCGCTCCCTCGGTCATGTTTCTGCGTAAACAACATGACAAAGATCATTTTCAACAAGTGTCACACTCCAATCAAATTGAATCCACAACATGTATTTTATGGAGGATTTATGTCACAAACTGTGCAGAAGAACACGATGTGTTTATTATTTTTAAAACAATAAAAATCTGAACAGTGCGATCTGTATTTTGTATTTCTTCCCAAATATATATTTTTAAAAAAATAGTTTTTAATAATTTATATGCAATAACAATCATTGTACAGCAGAGGGTGCCCTATTCTTGTTCTTCTATATGACAACCATCTCTTGGGCTTTATCAAGCCTACAAAATACTAAATAATTAAGTTGATGGAACCAGCTAATTAAAGTTGTGAGTATGATTTCCTTTGATTTTACTTTTGAGTCCCGTTGAGATTTTAAAAAATTGAAAAAAACCCCCAAGCCTTTTTTTTTTTTTTTTTTTTTTAAGAATGCGCTCTGCTTAGTGCTGTCATCATAATTATACACTCCTACTGTTTATTTTTAGTCCAAAAAAATAAAGCTATAATCTAACCATTGATAATTGCGGTAAACGTGTTTGTTGGGCGTACAGCTACTGTCGACATTTACACCTGTGGCCTGCAAGGCGCGTCTTTCAAATGTGACACAAATATAGAGGTGCCTTATTTTGGTAGGGCTGAGGCGTCAAGGCTCTTCAGCGAGGGGTGGTAGCGCGACAGGCAGAGATGAGAGTGGGAGGTCCTCTGTGGCGTGACGTCGCGATTGGCCCGGTGCCTTTTTCTTCAGCAGGGTCTCCATGCCTCTCTCTCTCCCTCTGTGATCAGTGGGTGAGAGGGGGGAGACGAGCAACACACAGCGGAGAATCCGGGTGTGCGCCTCCGGTAAATGACGCCCACCATTCATACCTTTACTCTTACCATTACGCATGCCATTTGTATTACATATCGGTGTCTGGGTTTCCTCATCCTCTCTGATTTCTCGCTCCTCTCTAGTCATCATCATTATCATCATCCTGCTTGCCATCGTCCTTTCCATCACAGCGCCAGTTCTGGAACAGCCCACTTCGGTCCTGGAGACGCCCGAGTCTGCAGCAGCAGCAGCAGCAGCAGCAGCGCGATCTGCGTTTTTTCCCCCCCCAGCCTTTTATCTGAATGACGGGCGGAAGGTTTGATTTCGACGACGGTGGCACTTACTGCGGGGGGTGGGAGGATGGCAAAGCCCATGGGCACGGCATCTGCACCGGACCCAAGGGCCAGGGCGAATACGCCGGGTCCTGGTCGCACGGCTTCGAGATCGTAGGGGTGTACACCTGGCCAAGCGGGAATACCTACAAGGGCTACTGGTCCCAGGGGAAGCGGCACGGGCTCGGCGTGGAGAATAAAGGCAGGTGGATCTATCGAGGAGAGTGGAGTCACGGCTTTAAGGGTCGCTACGGGGTCCGGCAAAGCCACAACACACCTGCCAGATACGAGGGGACCTGGAGCAACGGGCTGCAGGATGGATATGGGGTCGAAACGTACGGCGATGGCGGTAAGAGCCCACAATCGTCCTTGTGGCTTTAACACATCATGTGTTATGCAGCTTGTGTGTAGGTTGCTCAGACTCAAACCAAGGGAAGATGTAATAGACTACATGTTTGTGTAAATCTTCACCGGATGTGAGCTGAGATTGCGCTCCTATGCCTCCAAAACTGTTTTTAAACTCATGTCTTTTGCGGCCTCCTTTAAAAAAAAATAATAATAAATTAGAAGTGCATCTCATTTGGCAACTACCGGTTGCTCCTCGCAGGCAGTGGGAGGAGTGAGACTCCTCTTCAGTGGCACCATGCCTGATGAAGAGGGAGATTGGACATCAAAGCAAATCATCCCACTTAAAGCATAGTCTGAATATAAATGGTCTCCCTGTTATGCTCTTATTGAATATTCTATGTGGAACCATATCCCCAGCCAGCATGTACTTGTGGGGCCCCATATTGACTTTGCTTAGGCTGAACTGGTACAATTTCCAGGGGCTCAGAATGGGTTTCTCCTGTATGAGACAGCTTTTTGAGCCTTTTGTAGATCTCTAAAATATACTTAGAAAATCAGCTGATTTAGCCAATGTATGTATGTAATCTCCTTGGGTGCCACTTTTTACCTGTACAGTTGACCTATATGAAAACTGTTTAAGAAATCAACTGTAGGTCATAAATTATCCACAGTTAATTCTTCTTGAGGCCCATTCATAAGCCAATTTCCTTCCAGTATAGGCCCCATATGGGAATGTTGGTTGGGTATTTGGGAGCATCCTTATCTTATGGGGTCTGTTTGGGCCTGTTTCCAACCAAATTCACAGTAATTATTACAGATTTGAGAGCTGAGGAACCCCCCCCCCCCCAAAAAAAAA